ACCCGAAACATCGGCCTTCCTGCTCCTCTGATGCTGCTTGGCCTGCTGTGTTCATCCAGCTCTACACCTTGTTATCTCAGATTCTCCAGCATCTGCAGTTCCTACTATCTCTCTCCCACTCAAGATTCTTTTGTTTTTAAAAAAAAACACCTGGAGAACTCAAAAGCTGTTTGCCATCTGCCTGTTTGCAGGAGACATTTCGGTGCCACTGTGACAATGCCCCTCTGCAAGAGAAACAGGACAGAACACATCTCTTAAAGGCACAGTATTGTCACACATGGGATGATTTTCTACAGACACTGCTTTTGACAGGCGACCATATCTGTTTGAAACAAAACTGGATAAATATTTTGAAGCAGAGAATTATAACAGGGTTATGAGGATCGAGAAGAATGGAAATAAATAGCTTTTCTTAAATCTTTTTCACTGTGGAGAAGAAATTTTAATGCTACAAATGTCAGATAATCTTGCTTGAAATTGGGATTCTTTTAGGAAGAAAAAGAGGGGGTTTCTTGTGGAAACATAAAATTATGAAGGGAATAGATAAGCTAGAAGCAGGGAGATTGTTTCCACTGGCAGGTGAGACTAGAATTGAGAGGCATAGCCTTAAAATAAGGGGGAATAGATTTAGGACTAAGTTGAGGAGTAACTCCTTAACCCAAAGGGTTGTGAATCTTTGGAATTCTCTGTGCAGTGAAGCAGTTGAGGCTACTTTGTTGCATGTTTCTAAGGCAAAGATAGATTTTTGAACAGTAAGGGAATTGAGGGTTATTGAGGGTGAGTGGTTGGGTAAGTGGAGCTGAGTCCATGATAAGATCAGCCATGATCTTATTGAAGAGTGGAGTAGGCTTGATGGGCTGGATGGCCTATTCCTGCTCCTGTTTCTTATGTTCTTATCTTTTGTTCATTTGTTTAAGTCAAGTATCTGTTTGGGCAATATATGGAGAATCCCGGCTACCTCAATTTACCTGTTTACTTCACCCACATCTTTCTCATGCTTACGTTTTACCCACTTGGGGGAAATAATTTTTAACTTCAATATCAGGTAGCCATGGCAGATTAGTTTATTACAGAGATACTAATTAACCTCTAATTCTCTGGAGGCACTTCATGTGCGTTCAATTTTGTCACAAGGTATTGGAACACATTTTCTAATAATTACACAAGAACCTCTAATGCATTAAAGTGTTTTTGTTTGATTTTAGTTTATTAGTCAATTTGCAATCATTTTTATATATTTGGGCACCAACTTTCATGATACAGGTGTGAGGTGATATTAAAATTTTCTGACCTCAATTTAATATTCTTGTTTTATTAATTCAGACCTGCAGAATGGACTTCACTGAGGCGTACTCTAATACTTGTTCAGCTGCTGGATATGCTGTAAAAAAAGGAAATGTAGAACTTTTGAAAACCTTGATTCAAAAAGGTTATAGTCTTGACATTGCTGACAACCGTGGTTGGTGTCCAATCCATGAAGCTGCAACTCACAAATCTTTGAGATGTTTGAGACTCTTAATACATGCAGGTACTGCAGTTACTTTACTGTTATTGTTGAAACAGACCTGTTCCTGTCACCTAAACAACTATTGTTATAAGTTGGGTCCAGATGGATTATCTTTTATAATCCTGAAAGCCTTTTGTGAGAAATCAGAGTGTTGTAGGATAAATGAGCACAACAACATCTTTTTCCTTGACTAAGTAAGTGTAACTGTAAATCCTCTTTATCAACATGTAAAATTAAAGCACTATAATAATATATCATTTAGTTGTTATATGATGGCAGCCTTCACAACTGATCATGCTCTCTCTTATCTGTATCATTTGTCTTTTGTGTTGCTGTTGTGATTTTTTTTGTGATTTTGCTTTTGCCTTCTCTCACATATATTTGTTTATATTTTCTTTCTTCATTTTAGATGATTCTTTTGGCATCCTGGCACTTGGTTCATGACCAGAATGTTGGCTATTCATGATTTTATTTTGCCCCTCATGATTTTATAAACCTGTATAAGGTCACCCCTCAGCCTCTGATGCTCGAGGGAAAATAGCCCCAGTCTATTCAGCTTCTCCCTAAAGCTCAAACCCTTCAACCCTGGAAACATCCTTGTAAATCTTATTTGAACCCTTTCAAGTTTCACAATATCCTCCCTATAGCTGGGAGACCAGAATTGCGCGCATTATTCCAAAAGTGGCCTAACCAATGTCCTGTACAGCTGCAACATGACCTCCCAACTTCCATACTGAATGCACTGACCAGTAAAGGCAGCAGACCAAATGCCTTCTTCACTATCCTATCTACCTGCGACTCCGCTTTCAAGGAACTAAACCTGCACTCCAAGGTCTTTTCGTTCAGCAACACTCCCCAGGACCTTTACCATTAAGTGTACAAGTCCTGCCCTGATTTGCCTTTCCAAAATGCAGCACCTTACATTTATCTAAAGTAAACTCCATCTGCCACTCCTCGGCACATTGGCCCATCTGAACAAAATCCTGTTGTCATCTAAGGTAGTAGGAACTGCAGATGCTGGAGAATCTGAGATAACAAGGTGTAGAGCTGGATGAACACAGCAGGCCAAGCAGCATCAGAGGAGCAGGAAGGTTGACGTTTCGGGCCTACACCCTTCTTCAGAAATGGGGGAGGGGAAGGGGGTTCTGAAATAAATAGGGAGAGAGGGGGAGGTGGATAGAAGATGGATAGAGGAGAAGATAGGTGGAGAGGAGACAGACAGGTCAAAGAGGCGGGGATGAAGCCAGTAAAGGTGAGTGTAGGTAGGGAGGAGATAGGTTAGTCCAGGGAGGATGGACAGGTCAAGGGGGCGGGATGAGGTTAGTAGGTAGGAGATGGGGGTGGGGCTTGAGGTGGGAGGAGGGGATAGGTGGGAGGGAGGACAGGTTAGGGAGGCGGGGACGAGCTGGGCTGGTTTTGGGATGCGGTAGGGGGAGGGGAGATTTTGAAACTTGAGAAGTCCACATTGATACCATTAGGCTGTAGGGTTCCCAAGCGGAATATGAGTTGCTGTTCCTGCAACCTTCGGGTAGCATCGTTGTGGCACTGCAGGAGACCCAGGATGGACATGTCGTCTGAGGAATGGGAGGGGGAGTTGAAATGGTTCGCGATTGGGAGGTGCAGTTGTTTATTGCGAACCGAGCGTAGGTGTTCTGCAAAGCGGTCCCCAAGCCTCTGCTTGGTTTCCCCGATGTAGAGGAGGCCACAACGGGAACAGCGGATACAGTATACCACATTAGCAGATATGCAGGTGAACATCTTCTTGGGGCCTGGGATGGGGGTGAGGCGGGAGGTGTAGGGGCAGGTGTAGCACTTCCTGCGGTAGCAGGTAAAAGTGCCGGGTGTGGTGGGGCTGGAGGGGACCTTCTTCTGTGTCCACTACACCTCCAATTTTGTTGTCATCTGCAAACTTACTAACCATGATCTAACCTTGCTAACCAGTGTACCATGAGGAACCTTGTCGAATGCCTTACTGAAGTCCATATAGATATGTCCACCGCTGTTCCGTCATCAATCCTATTCATTACTTCTTCAAAAAACTCAATCAAGTTAGTGAGACACCATTTCCCATGCACAAAGCCATTTTGACTATCCCTAATTAGTTCTTGCCTTTCCAAATACATGTAAATCATGTTCCTTAGGATTCCCTCCAACAAAAATGGTGGCATGGTGGCTCAGTAGTTAGCACTGCTGTCTCACGATGCCAGGGACCAGGGTTCAATTCCAGCCTAGGGCGTCTGCCAGTGTGGAGTTTGCATATTCTTCCTGTGTCTGTGTGGGTTTTGTCCGGGTGCTGCAGTTTTCTCCCACAGTCCAAAGATGTGCGGTTTAGGTGGATTGGCCACACTAAATTGCCCATTGTGCTCAGACTAGTTGGGTTAGTCATGGGAAATACAGGGGTGGGATGCTCTTCAGAGGGTTGGTGTAGACTCAATGGGCCAAATGGCCGGCTTCCACTCTGTAGGGATTCTATGATTCTAACCTGTTCTATGAACTTGGCGACCACTGATGTCAGGCTCACCAGTCTATAGTTCCCTGGCTTTTCCTTACCAACTTTCCTACCATGTTAGCCAACCTCCAGTCTTCTGGTACCACACCTGTTACTATCTATTATACAAATATCACAACAAGGGGCTAGGCAATCACTTCCCCAGCTTCCCACAGAGTTCTTGGGTACGCCTGATCAGGTCCCAGGGATTTAACCAACCTTACGTGTTTTAAGACATCCAGCACCACCTCCTCTGTAATATGGATATTTTTGAAGATGTCGCTATTTATTTCCCCATGTTCTCTCTGTTCCATATTCTCTCCTCAGTAAACACTGATGCAAAATACTCGTTTAGTATCTCCCCCCATCCCCTGCGGTTCCGCACATGGCTGGTCTTGCTGATCTTTAAGAGGCCTTATTCTGTCCCTTGTCACTCTTTTGTCCTTAATGTATTTGTAGAATCTCTTTGGATTCTCCTTAACCCTATTTGCCAAAGATAGCTCATGTCCTGTTTTTGCCTTCCTGATTTCCCTCTTAAGAATATTCCTATTGCCTTTCTACTCTTCTAGGGATTCGCTCGATCCCTGCTGTCTGCACCTGACATATGCTTCCTCTGTATTCTTGATCAAAACTTCAATTTGTCTAGTCATCCAGCATTCCCTCCACCTACCAGCCTTGCCATATACCCTATCAGGAGCATACTGTCCCTGAACTCTCATTATCTCATTTTTGAATGCTTCCCATTTTCCAGCTGTCCCTTTACCTGCAAACATCAGCCCCAATTAACTTTTGAAAGTTCTTGCCTAATACTGTCAAAATTGGCTTTCCTCCAATTTAGAATTTTAACTTTTAGATCCGGTCTATTCTTTTCCGTCACAGTTTTAAAACCAATAGAATTATGGTCACTGGCCCCAGAGTGCTTCCCCACTGACACCTCAGTCACCTGCCCTTTCTTATTTCCCAAGAGCAAGTCAAGTTTTGCACCTTCTCTGGTAATCTGTGTCAAATAATTGAAACAGCAAAAAAATCTGCAAATTCTGGCAAAAACTTATTTGCAAGTTTGCAATAGATCAGAATTGGTGGTGAGGTTTTGCTGCCTGAAGGACTGGGGGAGATAAATCTAAATAGGTCTGGAATGTCTCCCACCCTATTTTCCTTTTGCTTTTTCTGAATTTCCTTCTGAATAATTAGCTTACCTTTCCTGTTCATTCCTATGTCAGTCCAATGTAAGTGGTTCTTGACCTTTTTCTGGAGTAGATCATCTATGTGCTCAGCAGCATAAATTCCTCTGGTTTGCTGAGAAGTGAAATTGGACAGCATGGGGCAACAAGAAGCAGAGGGGCAGTGAATGAAAAAGATGAAATGAAAAAAGGGGGCAAGAGAGCATGAGATACTGGAGTACATTATGTAAGTGTCTTCATTTGGATGGAAATTGCTAATTTTTTTGTATATTCCTCTAGCTTCTTCTGCTCAGTGCATAGATTTAAAGACTTTTGAAGGTGAAACAGCTTTACATCTTGCTGCAAAATGTAGCCATTTAAAAATTGTTCAGATTCTGCTAAAGGCTGGGGCAAATCCGAATGCCATCACAAATGAAAACGTAACACCGCTTTTTTTAGGTAAGGCACTAAAAATGTGGATTTTTGGTTCATAATCTTCACATAGAACATAGAACAGTACAGCACAGGACAGGGGATCTAAAGTGTCTGTTGTTATTGAGACTTACTCTTGAAGTTGTAGAACTTAGAATTTTCTGTAAGGCAAGTTGCTGAAATTGTGAGCTGATACTATCACAGTGAGGGAAACCAGGGCTTAATTTTTGTTGATAATACAAGTCTTGCTGTGGGGTCAATAAAGCCCCACTTATGAATAGCCAGGTGATTAGGTGGTGGGATGGGGAGTGGAGCTTAGAGGGGAGGTCTTGGTGGTCAGTGTTTGGTAAATGATACCCTGGTAGTGTCCGTAGATATACTTGGAGGGTGCTTTGTTTTCTAATCTGCCATTCTTCTTGGTCTCTTGAATTCTTAGTTCATCCTTATCCTACAATAAAGCTCTCTCACTCTCTTCAGTACAGTGACGCTCATAGGTCACTGAATGCAATTCTCTGGAGATGAAGTCCTACTCTTTGCAAGCTTCTCTCTGGTCTGTTTTTCTGCTCTGTCAGATAATATTAGTATCCAGGCTACTGATTAAATTTAATACACTTAATGGTATGCTTACTTGAACCAGATTGAGGCAAGGTAATCTGTGTCAAATAATTGAAACAGCAAAAAAATCTGCAAATTCTGGCAAAAACTTATTTGCAACTAAAGAATAATAAACCCACGACATCCAAAACAGCAATCGTGGCTATGATTGGATTCTAGATACAAAATTTTCATTTTCTACTCAGCATTATGTTCCGACTAGCTAGCCTTTAAGTTTCTGGTTAATTTTTCATATAATAAAACTAGGATTTGAGATGTGTCTGTATGTCTTCTATGTATTGATATTGTTACAACCTTAAATATTTTTATATGTAGTTATGTTGAAGCAAAAGTTTGATTTTTATTCCTATTTGCCGTATTGAAGCAACCGAGAAAGGTGACATTGCTGTTGCAAAGACACTTTTAAAGCATGGAGCAAGAATTAATGGACCACATTCTGCATGTTTATGGAGTGTTCTGCATCAGGCTGCTTATCAGGTACTGTGATATTCATTCTAGATTTCACTGGGGGAGGAGGAATATTTTTGAAGTAATGCCACTATCAACATCAATTCTCGGATAATGTCTCAATTTTCTTTTACATTCTTGGAATGCCTGTGTCACAAGCAAAGCTGTAATTTATGTCTCATCTTCAGAAGATGGTGGGCTTTAGAGAAATGCAGGAGGTGAAGATACTCAATCAATGCTGCTGGGTATGGTATTCTAGGAACTTGACCCAACGATGAAGAAATTATGATATAAATCGAAGCCTGGATGGTGTGTCCCTTGAAAGGTGGATATGCAGACAATATTCCCATGCAACTTCTGTTGTTGTCTGTGATCCTTTTGTGCAGGCTACCTTCATCATTTTACGGTGTCAAACGGTGAATTATTAGTATGATCTTTGCAAATTTTGCATTGCTTCCATTTTAACAGATATGTTCTGGACAGCCAGAGATCAGGGAAGGGCCTTTCTGAAATTCGAAAGTCAGATTCTTTTGACATTGCCAGATTTGACCATATTTTAACACTTGCTTTGTGGCCCAATGCCGGTCTCATCGTTACCACTGGATGGACAATGGCAGCTAGCCGAGAAACTGAGTCTGAGGGTAGGTGATCTGTTTTTAGTAAGTTTCATTCTGGACAAGGTAGAGTAGGAGTGACTAACAAGTGAATGCAAAAGACAAAGCTGAACCATTTGCACTATCTTCAGCCATGAGGGTGAAATAGATTGTCCATCTCTGCTTCATCCTGAGGTCCTCCGACTTCAAGGGGACGCTCAGTTTTAACTGATTGGGAGAAGACATTCCTTCACATGAGGGTAGTGAATGTCTGGAATTCTTTACCCCAGAGAGTCATGGAGGCTAGACCACTGGAAATATTTAAAGAGGAGATTAATTAGAGTTTTGAAATATTCAGGAGTTGAGAGCAGAATTGACATGAAAGAGGAGTTGAGGTGTTGGATAGACCAACTGTGATCTTGTTGAATGGCAGGGCAGGCCTGAGAAGCCGAATGGCCTACACCTGCTTATGTTATGTTGTTAAATTAGTGACATTGAAAAAAAAACTGATTGTTCAGGCCACAGCAAGAGCTGCCAGGTCCCAAAAAGGTGACGGTTTTTAATTTGAAAATGTTCTCCAGAAGTAGCTGTATCCTTAAATTTGCAGTTCGAGTGCAGTTTAAAAGATATTAGTCCAACAATGTGTAAATTGGTCAGCTATGGCTGATTGTCTAATGTTTTACACAGTTATCACCATTAGGCTTCTTGTGACACAGTGATAGTGTCCCTATGTCTGAGTCAGGAGGCCTGGGTTCATGTCCAACTGCTCCAGAGGTATGTAACAGCATCACTGAACAGGTTGATTAGACAATATGATCAGTTACCTTCATATTAACCTAGATTCAATCAGCAGCAAAATGTTTGGTGTCGTATCAAATTACACAACTCTGTTAATCTAGTCACTGGCGCAGAGCCTGAATTCTTTCAGGATCACATGTCTCCCCACCTCTGTGACTTTGGTCTAAACATAGACAAAAGACAGAATTGCAGAGATGAGTTGAGACCATCTGACCTTGACAACTTGAGCGCTGGTGGTATTTGGCAAAGAAACAGCATAAAGGAATCGTAGGAAAGCTAAAGTTATTGGGTGTCATAGTCAAAACTTTCAAGTTACTGGACTCATGGCTAACATAAGAAGTCATTTGTTGTTGTTGTAGGCCAGCCATTTCAATTCTGGGGTATTCGTGTTGAAGTTATTTGGGGTTGAGACTCCAATCCCATCATCTTCAGCTGATTCATTAATGACCTGTGCTCCACCATAATGTCGGAAGGGGCAGGAGGAACGTGTATGAACCTTCATCCAATAAAGTTTGGTAATAGGTATTTTCTTATCCAGTTGAAACATCAATCGCAGAATTTGTTTGAGGCTTGCAGGTGGAAGAAAAATGATCTAATATCAATTACTGAAATATCTGGTGGGATGGGAAATGAAAGCAGGAACAAACTTTATCCTGATGATCTTTCATTAGTCACTTTCAATAGTACATTATCTTTGTTAGTTCATGGAAAGGATCTATTATTGAGCCACAACTAACACAGCCAAATGTTTGTGCAATTTTTGGTTAACAGTATCTTTTCACCCTTGCTTCTCATTACACCCAATTTGTACAAATTTTCAGATGTATGATCCATATTTTTTGCAGTGGAATATTTTATTTCACATAATATTGCATATTTTATAGCTTTATTTGTGGCATGCAAAGTAATTGAACTATAAAGTTCATCTGTTTGATTTAGCATTCTGACGGTTACTCCTGAGAAATCACTTGAACCTCCATCCAAAGAATAAAGCCGTTCTAGATATGGCTGCCAGAATTTACCCAGGGGAAGATGATTCAGGAGGAAAAGAGCATCTTTATGGAGTGATATTCAGCCTTGATATCTCTCAGGAGGGCAAGATACCAGTTCATTTTTGAAAATCAAAGATGACATCTACAAATTCCGGAAACATTGCAAAATAGGAACATGGATGTAGGAATAGGTCATTCAGCCTCTTGAGCATGCTCTGCCATTCCTGCACTATACCCGTATTCTTTGATATCATGAGTAACTAGACATCTATAAATCTTTGTTTTGGACTTAATTACCGAAGTTTTATAGTCCTTTGAAGTAGAGAATTTTAATGATTCATCACCCTCTGAATGAACTTTCTTCTGAGTTCAATTCTAAATGGCTTGTCTTTCATTATGAGACTCTCCTCTTGTTGTAAACCACATAGTCAGAGAAATCATTCTTTCTGCATTTATTCTGCTATCTTTTTAAGAATTTTTGTTTTAAGTTCATATGACGCCTCTCTCAATCTTCTAAGCTCCAGAGAATACAGGCCTAGCCTCTTCAATCTCTCCTCATCAGACAGTCCTACAATCTCAGGAATCAGCCTGGTGAACCTCCTCTGTCCTCCCTCTATGGTAAGTTTATCCTTCCTTAAGCAAGGTGACCAGAATAACACACTACTCCAGATGTGGTCTAACCAGTGTTCTGTAGAGTTGAAGCAAGACTTCCTTGCTACTGAACTCAAATCCTCTAGTAATGAAGGGTAACATACCATTTGCCTTCTGAATTGCTTACTGCACCCACATGCTGGTTTTCACTGAATTATGAATAAGGACACTTGGGTTTTTTTGTACATCAACATTTTTCAATTTCTCGCCATTGAAGAAATACTGTATTTTTGGTTTTTTGAATCAAAATGGATAATCTCACTTTTTTTTTTTGACATTATATTCTCTCTGCCATGCTCTTGCCCAAGCACTTAGCCTGTCTAAATCCACCTGAAACCTTTTTTCCTCAACCCACATACACATCAAGTTTTGTATCATCTGCAAACTTGAAATGTTATGGTTGGTCCCTACATCCAAATCATTGATATAGATTGTAAACAGTTGGGTCCCAAGCACTGATCTTTGTGGTACTGCACTGTTTGCAACTTACCAACCTGAGAATGATCCATTTATTCTAAATTGGTACTTTCTTCCTGTTAACCAATTTTGATCCATGCTCGTGCATTATCCCCAATTCTATGCATTTTAATTTTGTTTACTAACCTCCTGTGTGGAACTTTATTAGAAGCCTTCCAAAAATCCAAATGCAGTATATCCACTAGTGCCTCCTTATTGACTCTGTTTGTGACATTCTCCAAAAAGCTTGATCAGGTTTGTGAAACATGTTTTCCCCTTGATAAACCCATGTTGATGTTGCCCAATCAGACAATTATTTTCTAAATGTCACGTAATTGTATCCTTTATAAGAGACCACATTTTTTTTCCACCACCACCATTGTCAGGCTAAAGTATCTATTGTGTCCCGTTTTCTTTTCCCTCCTTTTTAACATTTACATTTGCAGCCTTCCAATCTGCAGACATCATTGCAGAACTAATAGAATTTTGCAAGATGATCATCAATTCATCCACTAACTGTGTAGTCATCTCTTTCAAAACCCTAGTGAGTGGTCATCAGGTCCCAAGAATTTGTTAGCTTTCAGTCTTGCTAATTTCTCCATTATCACCTTTTCACAAGGACTAATTGTTTTCAGTTTCACAGCACTACTGGACCTTTTGATCTTAATTACTTGAGCATGACTTCTTGCTTTCCTCTGTGAAGACAGACACATGGTACTTAACTTTGCCATTTCTTGATTTCCTATTATAAACTCTTTTGTCTCTGCCTGTAATGGATCCACATTTGTCTCTGCTAATCTTTTCCATTTTACATACCTATTGAAAATTTTAAAATCTGTTTTTGTGTTTCTAGTTATTTTAATTCATATTATATTGTCTTTTGCAATTTATTGCAACTCTTCTGGCAACTTGATAAGCCTCCTGCTTTAACTAATACTAACTTTAACTTCCCTGGTTAGCCATGGCACACTGGGTTTTTCTGTTGGATTAGTTTGCCTTGTAGGAATGTACTCTATTGAAAGCTAAGCATTAGTGTTTTAAATACTAGCTATTGCCTATTACCAGCAAAAATAAAATTTTCAGACTTCTAGCGGACATTAGAGCTGCTCTCTCATTAGACAGAAAAAGGCAAGTGGTAGTTGTGTAACCTAAGGGTCGCCATGTCTCTGGTGAGGTGGGGATGTTGAGAAGGAGAATCCCTCATGGTAATGGCAGCCAGTGTGAGAATTGAACCCATGCTGTTGGCATGACACCACATTGCAGCTGTCCAACCAACTGAGCTAACTGACCACTGCCTACCTGCCATCAAAACTTTTAATGTATTTTACCAATGCGTACCAGTCAGCTTCCTTGTCAAACCTATGTAATTGCAGGTTTAAGACCTCTTCAGGTCGAACTGAATCCATTTAAATGTAATGGAAAAATTCTAACATGCTATGGTCACTGTTTCCTAAAGGTTCTTCTATCACAAGCTTGAGAATTAGTCCTTTCTCATTGCATAATACTAGATTTAAAATAGCCCATGCCCTTATTGGCCCCT